TATTTGATACAAACTATTTTGCGTGCAAAGAAACTTGCCAGTACCTATAAGGGCATAGATTTGTATTGGTAGAGATATATAGTGCATCCTATATTCTACATTATTAAAAAGAATAATTTGAGAATAAATAGATGGAGGTTAGTCACTTTTTCACCCAAAAACAACTGAACGAAATTACACGTATAGGTAACTACTCTAATATACAAAATACTTTACCAATTAACTCGATAAGCCGCGTGTACCAGCTGTTTAATTCTAGAAATGGCACTCATATGGCATGTGAGTTGTGACGTCATCGAGATTACGTCATCGGCATTCGGCAGACGAGGTAACCTCAAATATGTGGCTTTTTCGGTTGTCACAATGATACCTATCCAAAATTAACTTCGTAATTATAAACCGGTTACATAATGGACTTTTAAAACACCTATTAAAATGTTAGATCTGTTAATTTCGTTTCCTTTGTCTTAACAAAATGATAGATCAAAAAAATGTATAAGTTCCTAACCTAACCTTATATAGGTCTAATTAAGACATACCTAGCATATTGAACTTATTAATATATTTCCTTTGCTTCATAAGTTATTTGGAAATAAAAATATGAAATCAGATGAGAAGGAAAACCACAATATTATTTTTAACATTTCTATATTATAATCACTCGTAATGCATGAGATTTTCTATAGAAAAATCCACACCGAGTAAACAATATGATAGATACCAGACCTTAGCTTCGACCATTCTATTAAAATTACATCTTCAATTACTAAAGTCTCAATGTGGTTCATTACACTACACTTTTCCAAAGTGATCTAAAATAAATATGTCTTTGTGTCCTCACACATACAGCATAGCACAGATACATACTGTTACATAATTTTTAATAAAATCACATGATTTTGATAATTTTCACAGAGTAATGTGAGCATTACATAAGTCCATTATACTTTTAAAAAGTACAAGGTCTCACTCCAAGCAATGTCACTAGGTTATGTATTGATTATAATCAGCAAAAAATATCCCTGCACACCAAATATTATTTAATTACATACATGTGCCAACAAAGATTTCAGTTATGTAGCTCTTGAGATGTCTGTACTATTTCCTGTCTTAACCTTGGCCTCAATGCATAGAATGAAAAGGTTACATAACTGTCACTCACTGGCAGAATGACTGGTGGAAAATAAAGAAATAATTCCAAAATTATTCAAATTTAGAATAGAACAGATGAAATCTTTGATGCTACATTGTATTTCTACATGATACACATAAGACAAAATTGCTAGGGCGCCCACCACACTTAATTATGTAACACAAGTATTGATTTAATAAAACAATTTAATATTGGAATCAATGTATAACACTTTATTTAACTAAAAATAAGTTACTAGAATTGATTTTCACTTCTAATAATACAGATTTCCAAGGAGTGACTTTATGGATGAATGGGCAATTGAAGTTATGGTAACAATTCTTACATTTAATTTAGAGGAGCTTCTTGATCTCATCATATAAGACGAGCACGAAGGCACCACCAGTGCCTCTGAGAACGTTCGAGAACGCTCCCTTGAAGAAGGCCGAAGCTCCCTCTGTCTTGGCAATTGTGGCCCAGCAGTGTAGTGTGCTCCTGTAGAGGATATCGCTCTTGGCGCGACCAGACTGCATCATCATACGACGACGGACAGTGTCGAAGGGGTAGGAGACGATACCAGCAACAGTGGTGACGGTCTGTGCGATGGCCCAGCTGATGACAAGAGGTGTGTTCTTGGGGTCGGGTAACATGCCACGGGCTGTGTCATAGAATCCGAAGTAGGAGGCACGGTAGATAATAATACCTTGTACTGACACCCCGAATCCTCTGTACAGGCCGATAAGACCGTCCGTTTTGAAGATTTTGGTGAGGCAATTTCCTAGGCCACTGAACTCGCGCTGGCCATCGCCTTTGCCGACGTCGGCGGCGAGACGGGTACGCGCGAAGTCGAGTGGGTACACGAAGCAAAGAGATGTGGCACCGGCAGCACCTCCGGATGCCAGGTTACCGGCGAAGTAGCGCCAGAACTGGGTGTTCTTGTCTACACCGCCGAGGAATACCTGCTTGTACTTGTCTTTGAAGGCGAAGTTAAGGGCCTGCGTGGGGAAGTACCTGATGACGTTGGCGAGGTTACCACGCCAGAACGATAGGGGCCCCTGCTCCTTGGGAATGCGGACGAAGGCATCGATGATACCCTTGTAACGCTGGTCCTCGGTGATTTGCTTGCTGACATGCTGAACCTGAAGTAGCAGCTTGACACGCTCGATGGGCGCGACAGCGGTTTTCGAGACAGCGGCAGATACACCGCCGGCGATAAAATCTTTCGCGAACGCGACCGGATCAGCGATGTTCGACATTTTGTTCAATTAGGTGGGTCCTTCACTAGGTAATTGCCTCGCGGGCGTCGAGTTGGAATACTACAGGTACACACACGGAATGGAGAAATCACGAAACAACTAACTCCTGAATTTTATAATCAGGAGATTTTAGAGTAGTTTCGTGATCACGGGAGCACAGGGGTAGGTGTGTGCCTTTTTTGAAATTCGATCGATCACGTTCTCTCGCAGTTCTGACCAGAGGAGCGGCGCAAAAGAAGGAAGGAAGGGGCAGATGTTGCCAACCTAACGAAAAAGTACCACGAGGTCAGTGTGGCCATTATAAATTTCAAGATTTTCCTTAAAAATAATATTAGTGTTATAATAACAAATCAACATAATTTCGTTAAAAGAAATCTATAAAAGATATAAATGCGGTACGCCTAATTTAGTAATCAATATCAACAAAAAACATATCAAATAAAAAAGTATTGATCATTATTATGTAGTACCAAAACACATAATGCGTCTTCCAACCTGAATTATTATCGATTATTAATTATTAGTTTTTGGTATTCAAAATATATAATAATAGACAAAATTTTATATTATTTTTAAATGGAATATAATAAATGGAATATTAAACCTTGATTAATTGTAGACTAAATAAAAATAGCAACACTGAAAATATGACTATTGATTGCGTTTAGTTATATCTTTGTTGAAACAACTTAATCAATACAATATTAGAATACAAATATAATAAAAAAATCTTTACTACTACTTTTCAGTGTTTCATAAATTATCTTTAAAATACACATATAATTCTATGTTAATAGATGAAATATTTTTAAAAATATATGAAAAAAATAGAGAAATCATGTTTGACTAGAAACTCAATGTTTTTCGCAAGGTAGGCAACCGCATAGGAATAATAGTTCACATAAACCTTTGACGTCAACGAAATATGTAAGGACGAAAACAGACGTACTGGGTAAGGCCGGATTCACACTATGATATCGCTCTCGGTCCACTTTCAACTAGTACGATTTTATTATGTACTAAGAAACACTGGGGCCGATACTGATGCCACATTCTCTTAATAAACTTAATATTTTATTTTCATAATATAGCGAATTTATCGTTTTATGGGCCACCATAAACTAAAATTATAAAACCTTAATCTATTAGAAAATTAGCTTACATTGGTGCTTAAAATAAAGGCCTAGAGCACTTATCTCGTTCTAATCAATCTCGAACTGTACTATACCGAGAGCGACAATATAGTGTGAATTCGGCTTAACATTTGGAATCCAATCGATCGATGACATTCGTTTAGGACGGAGAATACGAATGGTAAAAAATAACCTTTCGTCACACAGTTTTCTTTTTAATGTTGAATTATATTGAACATGATTACATGGGAGATTAACCCTCTTATTCATAAAAACGTCAAAGGTCTCATAAACCAATTTTAGCCATTGAACTGTTTTGTCTTTTTCTTTTATGCTATATTTCCCAATTTGAAAGAAAGTGACAAAACAGTTCAATATCTAAAATATGTTTATGAGACGTATGACGTTTTTATATGTAACAGGGTAACAATTTAATCGGAAGGGGGGTGTGGAGGAAAAGAAAGGATGAAATTATATACGTGTAAGGGACTGAGAAAGATATTTGTATATTTTTATATCTCGATCAGTAAACTTAACCCACTTATAATAATAAATAATGCCTTACTCTTTTTACTTGATGACATAATATTCGCTCTCTTCTTTTATGCGATGTCGGTGATAAAGTCAGTTTTGAGGGAGACTAATAATTATTAAATATATTTTGTATTTCAAATTGTTTATTACGATATGACATTTACACAATATCTGCCAGAGAGTTATATTTTCTTTTTCTACTTTATTAGGTAGAAGTTTTGATCTACGGCTATATACAAACTTCGTACTCTCATCTCAATACATACGTTAGACAGTAATTATACCTAGAATTATTCTTAATCTATGGAAACAAGCGATAAACTGTTAACATGCTAAGGTCAATAGTGTATAATAATATAATTAGGTACCTACTACCTATATTAAATGCTACAGTCTCTAAGATAATTATCTGGCTTATTTCCAATTGTACTACAAATTAAAAATCGAATTCTTAATCTATGGAATCAAGAGATAAACTGTTAACACGCTAAGGTCAATAGTGTATAATAATATAAATATAATTAGGTACCTACTACCTATATTAAATGCTACAGTCTCTAAGACAATTATTTGGCTTATATCCAATTGTACTACCAATTAAAAATCGATTATTGATTTAATGTTTCAATTTGTTACTGATTTGATTTAAAGAATGTTTCTGTGATAATTTTAACAAAACTTATCTTTTCATCAAGATCATTCGTTTATTGTGTTTTACGATATTAATAACAACAAATGATCTTAAAAATCAATAAAGTACATCCGAAACCCTCTTGGGTACAGCAATTATGCCATAGAGACGTCATCTTTAAAATTTTCATAATATTACCAAGATTTATATTAAAATAGTTCTATAGAACCAGACTATATTTATATTTTCACACACTTTCTAAATTTATTTGCGTGTTGCCCTAACTATAATATTTTTTTATCTGTGTTGACTGACGAAATTTATAATTAATCTGTGGTGAAAACTTCAATAGTTATTTTTTGTTTCCTGTACCTGAATTCTGACATTTTTCTTTATCCATCTGCGTCTTTTTTTGTGTGAGTTCGTTGTATTATAAAAATTAATTATAGTATATTTATTTTTTTAAAATTAATCTGTAATTATGTTAATTTAGCATGCAGGTGGGTAGAACGAGTTCGCCGTCTATAGCAATGGACGAAGATACAGGCGTGGGTCATGTTCTTAGCGACTTTCTCTTGCAACTAGAAAATTACAACCCTTCAATACCGGATTCCGTGGTGGCACACTATTTAAACATGTCTGGATTCGAATCACAGGATCCTAGGTGAGTAATTTGTTTTTCTAACCATTACAGATTGTTACTTGTTGACTTAATACTTTTATATTGTGGAGGTAGTATGTAAAATGGTACGTTATACTAATATTTTGTATTACTTTTTACGTGATGTAAATGGTATGATAACCCCGTCCGACCTATTAGTATACAGTGGCGAGTTACCAGATGATATGTGATCTAATGTATGATAAGCAAGGACGAAAGTCAGGTCAGTTGGGTCACTATGGCGAATTCGCCAAGAATTATCCTTGATAGTAACCAGCGGGCGCTACGCGGAAGTCGATCTGATAGGTATTTCATACTAATCTGTCATCCCTCACTGGTGTCCCACCATTGCAGTCCAGTACAAGCGGGGTTATCATGGGGACTGCTTGTAAATCAGGATTGTTAGTAATGGGGAGGTTAGTCCCTAATGCTGTCAATATACCCTTTTAAGTCGACCTTCATGCAGTTCCCCCTGGAAACCATCATGACTAATTTATCATTGAATTTGTTGACATGGGCTAATTGACCTGCCATTTCATTCTCATCAGTCTTCCCTCACTTTTACCCCGCTAGTGTATACCGTTAGCAGGGCCGTAGGCAGGGCTACCATTCCATTATCATCCATTAATGTACACATTGTACTGGGACACTCACAGCATCAGCTGAGCTAGTTCCTTTTATATATCTAATACGAGACACTTTTCATATATGTATTTTCTGTTGTAATTATGTTTTTCTGTCAATAAATATTTTCTACTCTATTCTATTGTACCATTCTATGTGCAATCCATTGATGTGAGGTTGAAGCTGGATCAGTTTTACTTTCTATTACAGGGGGGAAAGGGATTGTTAGTAATAGAGATTTACCAGCTCCGTTACTAGCAATATATACTGTCAGGTCGACTTCCACATGGTTCCCCTGGAAACCATCGTGAACAATTCTTGTTGAATTCGTCACGATGGGCTAACTGACCTGCTTCATTCTCACTTATCATCCTTCACTGGTGCCCCGCCAGTGTATTCCGATAGCCCGGGTGGGGTTACCATTCCATTATCACCCAATAAAAAAAAATATATATATCACCTATTAATAAAAAAAAACATCTACAATTATAGGTATTTACTTTGTGTATACTTATTACTAGTGATCCAGCCCGGCTCTACAGGTAAATAGTATTTTTGAAAATAATATACAGCCTATGTTAATCACTGGTAACATGATTTTCTATAGGTGAGAGAATTTTTAAAATTGATTAAGTATTTTTTTTTATTTATCTGTTACAAAAAACAGTCAACAGTCTGGAAGTTTGTTTTAATGATAAGACCATCTTTTGTACTTTAAATCTAATATATATGTTTTTTTTTTTATATTACTCTTTTAATTCTTGGTACAATAAAGAGTACTTAAATAAATCCAATCTTTCCTCTTTGTAATATTAGTGTATATTACCATCATCATTATTTTAACCATTATCTGTCTATTGTTGGACATAGGCCTCCCCATAGACTGCCATAAGGAATAGTCTTAAGCCACCTATATCCACTGACTCTTTGTTTTGCATTTGAGGTCATCACTCCATCTAGTGGGGGAGGGTGGTGTCCTAAACTGCATTTGCCCATATGGGTTGCCATTAAGAACCTTTAATCTCCATTGGTTACTGGTTCTTCAAGCTATGTGGCCAGCCCATTAAGCTATAGAAAACCAAGTGTTGCCTTATATCCTCATTTGTGGTTTTCAGGTTAATAAGGCTGATAGCATTAGCGTCACAGAAGTTCCTGTCCGATATTGCAAATGATGCTCTGCAACATTGCAAGATGCGTACATCGAGCCAGATCAACCAAGCCAAAAATCAAAAAGGCCCCAAAGAGAAGAAATATGTCATGACTATGGAGGACCTGGTACCAGCGCTACAGGAGTATGGAATTACAGCAAGGAAGCCTCATTATTTCGTCTGAAAAGAAAAACAGGCAAAAGAATTTTTGTTATTCAGTTTTAAAGTTTTCCGTGACGATATAAGGGGGCTCCTAAATATGAGGAGGTAATTTCATGTATATATGATGGATAATATGTATACATATGTATAATATAGGTATGGTGAACTATCTAATGTTTTTTAAGAGAAATGTCATTGTAAGACTGTCAATGGAAGCTTCTTGTCTATGGTCTATTTATTTTTAATAAATTGTAGATAATTGACACAGACCTAGCAGTAAGCTGCCTATATATTTTTATTATCAATTTAATCACGTTTGTTTTAGAATATTCTCAAAAATGCTTTTCATGATTATAAAAAAAAAATAACCAAATATCAGTCTGTAGTAGTCAAGAATGTTGTTTCATAAAAAGACGTGATATAATTAAATGTCACAAATGTATGTATGTTGCATGTCAATTTTAGCCCTTGTTACATTTAAAAGGGGCTATTTTATAAACTTCAGCTAACTAAAAATTTTATATTGGAAAAGTTTAGAAGGGTGATAAAAATTGTAAATTATGTGATATTTATGTGGTAATTGACAATGGTGATGGCTCAGTAAGACAATGGGGTCGATTCTGAGGCGTCATTTGTCCTCTGTCTCTGTCTGTATGTCTATAAGGCCCAATACAACCTTATTATCTAATAGATTTAAGTCAAAATGATGGAAATATTTGTTTATAGTATATCCTACAGCCTAAATGATCGCGTACTACGCGGATTCAGAAATGTTTTCTCCCACGAACACTCAGGTTATGGAATGAGCTCCCTGCCGATGTTTTCCCAAGAGACTACAGCATTGGGTTCTTCAAAAGGGGGGTAAAGAGGTTTCTTCGGGGTCTGCAACGCGCGCGTAATACCCCTGGTGTTGCAGGCGTTCATAGGCTACGGTAACCGCTTACCATTAGGTGGGCTGTATGCTTGATTGCCACTTCAGTGGTGTAAAAAAACTAGTAACCCATAAAATAGTAATTTCGTAAATTTATCAACCCATAACTCTATAATTTATCGAGTTATGGGATAGATTTAGAGAAATGATGTTTCGGAATCGACTCCAACGTTTGACTGTGCTTTTGGATTGGTAGGATCGCCTGAAACCTAGAATTTTATAATTTATATATGGATTTTATAAAAATAAATGTCACGCGGGAGTGATACGTTAGAGAGTGTATTTGCCACGTTAATTTATGTTTTTTTTTATTTAGTAAAATGTGTAATTGATCAATACCATTTAATTGTATGTTATTGTCACAGCACGATACAATATTGTATGATTATACCGCCACGATATAATAGGAGAGCACCATGTAATTTTATGTATTGATTTGTGTATATTTATATAAATATATGAGTATGTATATTTATTTATATTATATACTAGCTGACCCCGTAAACGTTATTCTACCACTTATTGCGAAATATAAAAATCGCAATTAAAATACAGGGGTTGATCGTAAAACGGTGAAAATTTAAAGTTGTATGTATTTTTCAATGCTAATTTATAATAAAAGAAAAATAAAAAAATTTGTCAAAAGAAATAAAAAAAAATTTTTGGGGTAGGTCACCCTTATCATTGAGAGGTATAAAAAATAGACGTTGGCCGATTCTCAGACCTACACAATATGCACACAAAATTTCATAAAAATCGGTAAAGCCGTTTCGGAGGAGTTTGGTGACACACTCACCGACACCGTGACACGAGAATTTTGTATATAAGATTTATAAACTTAATAGTAACCTAGTGGTAAGAGAACAATTTTGAAATTTAAACATGGAATACTTTTAAAATTCAATTAGAAATAGAATCTAAGAACGAAAATAAGGTTTTGAATTTATCGGTGGGATGTTTATTTCTTTTATTTTATAAGATTTTTATAGAAACAAGTTTGTTTAAGTACATTGTTAAACATCTTGTAAGTACACATATTTTAATATCATAACTACCGGTTTAACTTACGTGTAATTTGATCGAAATAGCTAGATTAGTTTGGGGACCATTCGGGACCTTTAGTCTTGCGCAGTTCCGAATGATCCCGAAATTAGTCGAACTTTGTCGACCAAAGTCCACATAAGCTAAACCGGTAATTGTTAAAATTTTAATATATTTTAAAAGGAATATGCAGGTAGCGAAACTTCGACAACCTTCGCGGAAAGTAACTGGCATATATAAACGAAAAGATTGATCCATTCGCTCCTACATAAGCATCATGCGTTATTAGCTATTTATACTTGGTCTATGCTCAAAATATATAAATTTAAAAATACCCCCATACATTTTGCTCTCCTATTATAGTGTTTATGGTAAAATCGTGCCTTGTTATGGTGAATTGGAGTTAGTTACACTAAAAAACAGCCATCTTTTATAAACATGTCGGGTAATATGGCCGTTTCTTGCATAAATATGGATGATAGCATATCTTTTAGTATTCTATTAATGTTATTTACAGACTATATTGATCATGCGTTCGCTCAGGATGGTGTGGTCACATTTTTATGTTATAAAAAAAAAGAAAGTAGCTCCAATTATAAGCGTGTTCAGTCCGTCGAGTCATTTTCTATGTGCACTATGGGATTTTTATCATACTTTATGTTTCGGCTGGATATGTTTTAGTTTTTAAATATATTTAAAAATTTAGTGGGTTCCTTATACTGTCAAATATATAGTAATTGATCAATTGTATTGTTTAACTATAAAATGATAATAAAACCGCCCATTCCTATGTTATAACTCAAGAATAGGCATTTCTATCCTATCACCACTGGATAAGGTCACCAAAAGTGTAACTGCGGTTGCCAATTGCGGTTTTGTTGTAACAGACACATTTCCTTTCACTACTCTGCTCCTATTGATCGTAGCGTGATGAAAAGTATACTATAACCTGCCCGGGAGTATGAAGAATAATTGTACCAAGTTTCGTTAAAATCCGTCGAGTAGTTTTTGTTTCTATAACGAACATGCATTTTTGTCACCAGTATCGATGACTAATCACCCCCTGATATTTATTTTGGAAATATATTTCATGTACAGAATTGACTTCTGTACAGATTTATTATAAGTATAGAATAAGATATATTTGACAGTCTATTAAACCCCTTAAATAGACAATTTTTAAGATCTGTGTTTTTATAAATAAAGCAATAAATACAGTTGCCTATAATATATTTTTGTATTTATAATATTTAGTTTGTGCATTCTTTTCTTTTTTTTTTTTGTATTTGGAAATTCATAACAGATAAAAAATTGAAAATGTACATAGTTAATTATATAAACGTAAGGGGTCGTCTATTAATCACGTGAGCACCGAAAAGGGGGGGGGGGGAGTTTTAGTGAGATATCATAAGTATTTATCCGACTTGCTAGGTGCTTATCCACTAGTGTAGAAGAGAGAATATATTTATTTATTTATTTATAGTTTGTTTTTGTGGCTATCGTAACAGGCGACTAAGGGAATTGATGGTTAAACAATGGACAGCAGTGTCCCTCATAAAATCATATCACCAAGATCTAACTACAGTTGCTAACCCTGCCAAGCGTGGCAACTACTGGCAACCCCCCCCCCCCCCTTACCTCATACAGAGAGGCCTATGTATAGCAATGGACAATTAACGGCTGATATGGTATACGATGGTCCATAAAACACAAATTTTGCAAAATTTTTAAAATTAAAATAATAGGTTAAGAAAAGATTTAGGAAAATAGTGCTTCAAAATCAAATTCATTGTAAGTGAATGCAGGTGGCTCGGAACATGCCTCTCTGCTATGAAGAACGTTTGTTCTTCATAGCAGAGAGGCTAATAGGCTAGGCTAGATAATTCAGCAGGTGGCAATAAACACCTGGAATGACGATGATGATGATTTTGTAATCATTTAATGACAAAATGGATTTTTTTCAGGTTATATTTTATCTCTCCGTATTTGAAATATTTCCAGACCCTAACTGCGGTTGCCAATCCGCCTGTCAAACGTGGCAACTACTAGTATTGTAAGGTTGTGGTCAGTTACTGGCTGATAAGGTTTAAAATAAGGTCATTCCTGTTGTCAATGCTCGGCTATGGACACAGGATTATTGTTAATAATGAAGCGATTTTGATATTCTTAATTTAAAAATGAATTTTAAAAAGAAAAATAAAAAGCGTCGGTCATATATTTGTTTGTGATGATTGAAGGAGCTATTTTTCTAGCTTATCGAGTAGAATTTGTTAACTCTCGATTTTGCGTTCTATATTCAAATATTTTCAGTCGTGTTATCGTAGTGATTGCTCTGTGGTGTTTACGAAATATTTCGTTATTATTTTGTATACTTTGTTCTTGATTGAAGTCGGTGTAGGCGGTATGGTCTATGACTTTAGCCTGTTCTGTTTATGGGCCAATAAAAAAAAATAAAGTATGTGTGCAGAACACTTTTTTTTTTTTACAAAATGAAGCAAATTGTACTTGTTTATATAGCAAGTAATTTGTGTAAATTATTTATTAGTTTTTGTGTTGTTAAATTGGGCGTCCTAGGTATGCTACTAAAAATGTTAAAATGAGTTTTAATTTTTGTATGTTATTTATAGGAAGTTGAGTTTCGCTGTCTAGTCTGTCGTAATTTTTTTTTTTTTTGTATTTTTTTTTTATATCTTCAGACGTGTCATTTCACTGACTAAGAATTAAATAATTAAAGTTCTGAGTTAGTTCACTGATTTTTGGGTTGGTAGATATTCTCTGCAAGTATCAAATGTTATTGTACGAAGTCAGAGGTCTATTATTGTAATCGTTTTTGTTATATATTGTTTAATAATTATGACTGTATGTTTTTAAATTTAAGAAATAAAAAATAAAATAAAAATTCATGGTGTCTCAGAAAAAAAAAAAACTTGCAGATACAAAAAATAAGTCAAGGACCTTTTATACAATTTGTTGTATTTCAAAATCTCAAACAATATAAAAAAAAAAAAAACTTAAAATTAAATTTAAATGTCATACCTCGCGGTTCTGGTATTTTTCAAAGCGAAATCGAATGTTGTCGAATACTAGCCTACAGAGTTACTTTGTGAATGTCTTGTCTTATATTTACTTTGAATTCGGATGTGGTTGATGGACTATTTTCGCATATTGTATTTTTAAAATAACCTAAAAGAAAGTAAAAGTTGTAAGGTCTGGGCTCCTCGAAGGCTACTTGACATTGCTTCTTATTAGTATCAGCTTTCTCGGCAAATAATCGCGTCCGACTTTCATTGATTGGCTTCACGTATGGCAAAAGGATCTTGTTGAAACAACTTGTTAACATTATAATCTTGAAACTGCTGCAATTGTAACAAAAAAAAAAAAAATCGTTGGTAACGAGCTTAATTTGTGTTTCGCGGATTTTCCTTATTATAATTCGTTTATTTCCTTCGGTCTTCAAGTCTTGGTTGGCTCGATACATCGAGCTAGTATTGCATACATGCAATACTAGCACTGCACACTTGTCTTCAAATCTCCTCAGTTTTGAATCAATTTATTACTTGGTGTATGCCCAATATCATGTAATGCGCATTTTTTTAGCGAAACTTGCTTCGCACAATCACATGTCTTGTAAAAACATAAAATACACGCTATTCACCAGTCATGTCGGAAAAGTTTCCACAAAATGGCGCTTCTGACGTCACTACACGTGTTTCCCGCTTTACATGCGCTTTGTTTTCACGCCATATTCAAATTGTGAGTATATTTTGAGACACCCAATAGTAACTAATCAGCATGAGCATCTTAAAAGCTATTTAAAACTGAATAATTATATGACGATGCAATTAAAGATCTGCGGTATGATTTATCTTGTAAGAATACATCAGTAATGTTTTTGGGCCCTATCCCATATTATCGTGTCTATATGGAAATTAAAGTGTAGCTTTCTTAAGCAAAACGGTAATCAAATTTTCTAGTCCCACCAATGAGGCGATTTCGTCTATTATCATTGTTAATGATGTGCGTTTGCGTTTTGATGATGAACGGATGATATGGTGATGATGATGATAATGAATAAATACACCTAGTATTTGAAGCGATTTCACTAGGGTAAATAAAAATAAATAATTTTGAAGCGTTGATGTATTGAATATAAATTTGATGTAATGCGCTGAAGTTTGTTTTGCAAGTAAGTTACAATTTGAAACCTGAAAGGTCATGTAAACAGTGCCGGTTTTAGTACTACCAGCGCCCTGGGCGAGATTTCTACGGCGCCCCCTAACTGCAATTCAAACCCATACGAAAAAAGGCGAAGGATAATAATGAAATAACCATTTATGAAAAGAAATAAACATTTATTAATAAAACTAATAAAATTTTACTTTTCTAGCCTTTCTATCGGCGAACTCTTTTATTAAGTTATCAAAGTCGATGTTTTCAGCAATTTCATTTTCGATTGACAAAGTTGCCAAGTTTGTCAATCTAGATTGAGATATTGTCAATCGCAGATACGTTTTTATTAGCTTAAGCTTAGAAAAACTCCTCTCTCCACTAGCAGCCGTTACGGGAATAGTTAATAATATTCGTAATGCTATCCAAACATTTGGATATAGTTCTTGTAAGTTGCGGTCTTTGATAAAATTTAAAACAAAAACAGGAGTAACCACTTTCTGATCAGGCAAAAACGATTTCAGACTTACGAGTTCATCGCACAACATACATCCATCTATATCTGATTTGGAATTTACATTTAATTTCAATTGAAGATCACTACAGAGTTTGATAAGGTCGTGTTTTTCTGGAATCTGTTTTAAATTGTACAAAAAAGACCAAGATTCCGAGTACTCACATGACTGTTCAAATCCTTCGTTGAGTGAAGTTAACGTCGTGTCCAAAAGACAGTTGAAAAATTCAACCTCAATTTTTTTTTTCTGGAGAAGTTATAGGCTCATCTTGGGCAGTTTCACCAGCTTGGCGCTTAACACGTCGAATTCTTGTTGTCGCTCTAAACACAGGTTCTATTTCTAACTCTTCAGCCAATTCCTTCGCAGTTAAAATGGCGCTTTTAAAGCCTGTATTTCTATATTCTTCCAAGAAATTGCAGCATTTTTTCAACATGTCTGTGCATTTACCGAGATCCATGTCTGTTGATTGTAGAGATTTACTAACGACATTAATTTGAAAAAGTATGTCATACCAGACAACCAATGAAACTATGAAGCCGAAATCTTTTAGCTGTTCGGCTAGAGTAGTAGCCTCATGAGAGACTTGAACATCAGTTTGCTGAGTTTCAATAGCCAAAGTGATTAAAGCGTCATGGACGGCGCTAATTTGATAACGGACTGCTTTAACACTGCCTATTCTTGCTTCCCAACGCGTGTCACTGAGTTTTTTTATAGTGTACAATCCCAAGTGATCGGTCAGAATTTTCCATCGATGAACAGAAGCTGAAAACAACGTAAACAACCTCTGAAGTACTCCAAACAAAGTGACAGATTTTACAGATGACTTAGCGGCATCGCATAGTACGAGATTGTAGCTATGACAGCCACACGGTACATATACAGCTAAAGGATTTATGTCCAGAATTCTCCTTTGAACTCCAATATTTTTTCCTTTCATGTTTGCTCCGTTGTCATAGCCCTGACCTCTACAATCGTTCAATTCCAGTCCGTATTTATTTAAAATATCAATAATAACTTCAGTCAGCCTTTCACCAGTCGACTCATTAACAGGTATAAATTCTATGAAATGCTCTTTTACTGATATTTTATCGACATCTGATGATAAATCAACAAATCGTATTGTCAGTGAAAGCTGTTCTATATGACTAATGTCCGGAGTACAGTCAGCTATAATAGAATAATATTTCGATTTCTTTGCACGTGATATGATTTCTGACTTCACTTTTTTTCACACCATCAGCTCTATTAATTCATTTTGAATGTCTTTTACGCAGTAGTGGTCAGAAACATCACCCTTTACAGCTAATCGCAAGTGCTCCTCCATAATTGGATCAAATTTGGCTAGTAGTTGTACTAAACCCAAGAACTTTCCATTATTTGGCGTATATTCTTTCTTTCTTTCTTTCTTTCTATATAGTTTGTCGGAAGTACCTCTAAACGCCATATTGTTTTCAGCTAAATACAGTGTAATATGCATTAATCGACACAAAATATTATTCCACCTTGTAGTTTCCTTTCTAATCAAATGTTGCTCTTGACAATCTATTGTTTTTCCCGTTTTTAATCTTAGTTCAGCCTCAATCCATGAGAGGTAAAACTTCTTATGAAAAGTGCTACTTTCATGAACTTTTAACATTTCTGATAAGTGTTTCCAGTCGTTATATCCTTCAGATGCTAAATTCGACGTTGAGCTGCTATCAAATAGCCGGCAACAAAAACAGTAAACTCGATTTTTAGAAACTGAGTATATTAACCAACGACGCTGAATTATTTCATTGTTTTGCAAGTTTTTTGGTAAAATGAGAATTTGAGAAATGTCGCCCTGTATCATTCTTTGGATAATTATCAATGTGAGTTTGCACTGGGCCATTAGTTATTATATGGTCAATAATTTTGCTATTTCGAGTGAGTGGCCAAGTGGCTGGATCCGATATATTTGGAACAAGAGAACTAACGTCATCTAGAATTTGTATTTGTTGTACATTACCAATAGTGTCATCCTGAGCAGCATCTGTAATTGTAACACAACTTGTCTCCTCACTTCGGGAAACTTCGTCCACAATCTCTTCAACAGCTAACTGATCTGACTTGTCAGACAGAGACTCCACTACCGATGCATTCGCTTGTATTTCAGATGTAGATGCCACATTAAGGTCTTGATTTTTTGTTGTGATATATTTGCCTATATTCATAAACTTTTTTGTTTTTTCAAATTTCTTCTCTTTTTCTGCTTTTCGTTTTCTATATTTTGACCCAGATGGTTTTCTTTTGAAAGGATCAACGTGTTCAGACATTTTGTACTAATCAAATCTGCAACAAATTAAATCTGCGTAAGTCCGATCATTTCTATAAATTAATTAAATATAACGCTATTGAGTGAGGACGACCAAAAACGCTTTATATTCAGGAAAGCGTTAGCATACACGTGAACTACGATCGAAAAATCTAGGTAAGGTAATATTGTCATGGCAGCGGAATAATTGTGAAATGTTATATTTAAAAGCTTGTGTTACGTGATAGTGCTTAGATTTGTATGAAAAAAATCACGATCATCCACTCGTTCCCGAAAAAATTACTTCTATGTACAGTCAGATGCAAAAGTCGGTGGACACTTTTCACCTTTAACACAAAGGCTTACGAATGAACAGTGTTCATCCACTTTTACACTTGACCGTACCTCCTCGACATTCATTTATTATCTCCGTGTTAAAATTTCATCAACATTATATAGTCGGTTCCAGAGATATTTTATAATATATAATTTACTTTAAATAGATTACCCCACTCCAAACATAACATAAACAAACAAACAAATGTTACCTCTTTAGTATAATGAGTAAAGATAGTTAAAATAAAATTGTACTTACCTAATTAGTGAAATAATCCGTCATAAAGCAAATACCTACTTAAACACTATTTGTATTTCAACTTTTTGGATAAAACCTATGTCACTCTGTAGTCGGCGACAAAAAGTAAAAAACATGCACTTCGTAACTTAGCGTGGACCGCCTGATTACTGCGTCTGTTTGTTTTAAAATATGTAATTGCGATAACTGTTTTTAAGTGCGTGCACCGATTGAATGAATAAGAATGAGCTGTGTTCCGCTCCATCAAAAATAACGCCAACTCTTTTGAACTAAAATGTTAAAAAGAGATAGATAATGTGTTTCTCTGTAGTCGGGGATTCCCAGTAAAATGAACTGTATGTATGTAGTGCTCCGACCGAACGGATTGAGCACTGCGTTCCATTCTAGTGTTGCCAACACATCGTTTTTTTTTTTCGCTTACAGAGATGGGAATATAAAGGGGCGCCGCTTGACGGCGCCCCTTAAAGTCCGGCGCCCCTGGGCGGTCGCCCAACCGCGCCCTACCCTAACGCCGGTACTGCATGTAAATTTCTTCTGCGTTATGATTGGCGTTCTCGCGATGTCGTGATGCGCGGCTCTTGTGACTGGTTGATGTTGTGTGTGATCGTCTATTAATAACTTAGCAGTCGTCCATTGGTTTTACCGCTGAAACCGCTTCATTATACGCAGGAGTGAATAATATTCATGGCATTATTGTTAATGCTTTAACAACCATCTTGCACAGTCGAGCTGTAAATCAATTGCATCAGTAAAAAAAAGATACACATGAGGCATCGGCTGTATGGTCTGTCCTTTTGCCTTTCCCAAAGGAAAATATTTTAAATTACATAGAACTACATACAGGAGATAAATAGAACAAAAACAAAATACGGTACACAGATGTTAAATTCAGAATGTTTGAAAATTGGAAGAGTTATTTCAATTATTGTACAGCAGCTTGTTAATGGTACTTCTCAATTAATAGTAAATGAAGTAAAACTCCTTGGTTTTGTAAGTCCACTCAATATGTCACAAGAAAATATAATTTCACTATCTAGTCGTTGCCTTTTAAGATTCGTTTATTGTCGTCTTAATTTTTTTCGGCCAAATATTGCAAATTGCAATACGCATGAAAGACCAAATTTTGCACCTTGCTTCTTTTTTTACTAATCTTTTAGTATTCATCGCCTTATATTCATTGATGGGATAATTCAAATTTAAATGAGAATCGAGATTAAGACGACTTTTAATAAAGTAAAATATGAGGTTTTAAAGAGAATGTTGTTGTTATATTTTTAGTCTGTAAAAGTACATGTAAAAAAAAACAATGGGTTTAATTTTAATTTTTTTCCATGGTATTTATTTTAATCTTCCAATAAAAAAAAAAAAAGAAAAATAGGTGTTATTGAAGTTATTGTCTGTGGTAGCGCAATTTCTAAACTTGTGAATTGATTTAGTTCGTTTTATGAAATATGGTCTTACTGGACTAGAATTAATAGCTCTGAAGTAAGTATTAACGTTGTTATATCAAAATAATATAAAAGAAAATAAATATATGTATATTATATTACAAAATATGTAAACATAAGAACTAATATTTATTTTTTTAAATATTTTAAGGGCTTTTACCTTATAATTTGTTAAACATTTATAAACAATTACCGTTTCTTGGTCCTTTTTTAATATTAATCAGTCTAACACAGGTTGAGAATCAGCAATCGTTGTCGAAAATTAAATAATTGAGCAAATAAATCATAATTCATCATAGATGAGATAGAAAATAGAAACATTTTTACCTTAAACATCTAGTAAATCAGTATTTATGATATGTTATTTCCTTAAACTCACACAACTTGAAAATAGTTTTTTTTTTAAATCAATAAATAAAAAAAATATATAACGATTAGAAACTACGATTATATTAAATATAACAAAAAACATCTATTCGTACTCATTATGTACTGAATTACAGTACATATGAATTCATTTGACTGAGCAAATGAATGATTTAATTCACCTTTTGCGCCTGCAGCTTCACTACCACCTGATACTTCGTTATATGATATGTTTTAACCAATACAAACACATTAATTTTTTTTTTCACTAAAATTTCTTTTTTTACCATTTTTATGTGAATATTTTTTCTATTCCCTTTTGCTTTGCTCTTTATTTTGACATTTCCCTTCTATTTAATATGATTTCCTTTAATTTTTTTTGTATATCGGTTATTAATGGCATATTATTTTTTGGCTTATTTACTATTAGATGGAAGGAGTTGGTGTCGTGTCGTATCAAGAGGTAAAGAGACTCGCTGAAAATCGTAGTGAGTGGCAAGAGCTCCACCGACAAGAGCGCAGCTCTTAAATGGATAGATAGATAGTTTTTAGCAGATGTCTTACCGTTTTAACTGAGAAATTACTAGCATCTGTTGGTTTTCCTTCAATGAGAAAATTAAAAAAACAATGCTTGATGGTTCAGCTATTGGCTTATTAAACATGTGCGCAATAATTTAAGCTTGTGTCTAAATAGGGCATGTCGTTGAAAATTTCAGGATTTTCTAAAATTTGTCGTTCGGATAGAAGTGACGTATTTTTGATAGCTTCGATTTTGACAATCTATAATAAAAAATGGCGTGAATTTAAATTTGAACGGTGCAGCTTGACCGCACGGTGAGCGTGGACTGTAGGGGTAGGGACACGGTATCGAATAGAAAGTATCGATACTGTACTCATGAGTAGTATCGATAAAAAAGTATCGTACTCGTAAAAGAATCGACACAAAAGTATCGAGTTCTTTTCTCAGGCAGGGCCTACGCGGTACGCCATACGTTAGTTTGTCAATGTTAGTCAGTAAGTATCGTCTGTACCTTCATACAGTAAGAGAAAATGAAAAAATAACAAATGGTACATATAATTATAAGATAAATAAAAACAACCTGTAAGTAAAGCCACAATTTTTTAATCTAAAATATTATAAATCCCATTCCTCCTCGGTACAATCGCTCAAGAAAAGAAGTTCGTCGAGCCTTTTTGGCGATAGGCGGTTACGGGTTTTAGTAATTGTACTTCCAGCTTTCGAAAACAATCTTTCTGAGGGCACTGAAGTCGCAGGAATCGATAAAAATTCTCGTGCCAATTTATATAATTTTGGGAAAACAACTTTCATATCTTCCCATTGTTTCAGAGGATCCAAAGAAAGTGGCGAAACCTGTGTTGATAAATAATGGCTTATTTCATCCTTATTTTCAAACTGTGATGAAGAACTGGTTTTACATCGCTTTTTCGTGTGAGCTAATTTCTTGTGGTGACTCCAAAAATCGTAAGTTGTTTCAAGAGAGGAATCGCTGTCATGATCGCTGCCGATAACACTAGGAGACGTTGTTATATATCTTCTCAGTAAAGAAATTGCCTTTGCACAAGCTTTAGCGTCCTGAAAATGGATATTCTTGAATCTCGGATCTAGCAAACATGACATTGCAATCAAATAATTATCTTCAATATGTCCGAATCGGCGTTCTATCTGTTTTAGGATTTCTTTTTTTACTGTATCTATTACCCTTCCATGGGGACCATCACCATCACCTACAGCCATAGGTATATTAATAATCTTCAAACAGTTCACCATCGGAATTATTTTACTAATGGTTACATACTGTTCACCTGATAACTCTTTGGTTACATACTCCAGCGGTTTCAAAATACAAATCAATGTTTTAATATTTTGCATTTCTACAGCCGATGGTGTGGGTGGTGCTTTTGTATTTAACATCAAAATTTGATGAACTATTGGTGCTAATTCAATGTATCTCTGTAGCATATAATAGACGGAATTCCACCGAGTCTTCACGTCTAAAATCAGTTTGAGAGGTTGAGACCCAGTTTGTTTTTGACGTAAAGAGTCACTGAGGATTACACTGCTCTTGAAAAATTTTACAATGTCTCGTACCTTGCTTACTAATGCTCCTAAATCATTGACTGACATGGCAGATTCAGCGATTAGATTAATTGTATGAACAAAGCAAGGTAAATGTTTGTTCTTTTCTAGAAAATTTGCTATGCCGGCTATCATGTTCGAGCCATTGTCTGTAACTACTGCAGTTATTTTATCCAAACTGATGTGTATATCTGCACAAATTTCTTTTAATTTTTCAGCGATAAAATCACCAGTATGACGCTGATCCAGTGCAACGGTAGCTATGCAACGTGACACCAGTTTGTCTTCTTGCAAATAATGAGCAGTAACCCCTAAATAACTGGTAACAGTCATCATCTCACTCCAAATATCGCAGGTTAATGCCACGTGATCTACATTGTCAAATATATTTTCTACTTTCAAACGCATTACACTATAAAAGTGTTCGAATTGTGCTTTAAGGGTATCTACATGAGGAATTTTAAATGATGGACACGCTTGATGCATCAATTTTTTAAACCCACGCCCTTTCACAATGTCAAACGGTCTTTTATCAACGCAAATAAAATAAAGCAAACATTTGCAGAGTTTCAAATAATCTTTTCCTCCATCCAAATAAGAGTATTTTCGTTCCATTGATTGTACAATTGAAAGTTGCCTTTTTTTTGGAAGTGGTGCATAGGTTTCTTCTAACTCACCATCACCACTGATTACTATTGGAATTCTCTCGACATCAGATGGTGAAGGAGTTGTTAACAATGTATCTGATTCAGGTGCTTTCGATGTACTTGTTGATGGTTGGGGTTCGTGATCACGACTCGGTAAATTCGACAGTTCTAACTTTTTCTGAATCGTCGACATCGTCGTTTGTTTTTTATCTCCTTTTACACTAAAAAATATATAAAATAATCAGTTTCGTGCGCCTATTAAATTACTACAAAACAAATTTTAGGTTATATAAATAAGGACCATATAATCATTAAAAAAAATTACCTTGAGGCATCAGAATTAGGGTGTTTCTTTAAATGTTTATTCATGTTTGACGTATTCCTTGATGATTTTAAGGTTTTGAAACAAATCTTACATTTCACTTCGTCTTTGTTAATCTTGACGAAATACTGCCAAACGTCACTCTTGGTAGGCGGCATTCTTTGGATATTGCAATGATTCAAATTCCGATACAAACACAGAATAATTGTGAGTGCTGTTCTGAATAGGTTGAAATATCAATAAGTCAATTATCATTTATCAATAACGCAAGAAAATCGATAAATATCAAAATGTTATAAATAACAACCATATAACAACCAACTGTCAGTTAACAACAACGAACGAATGAACCAGAGTTTTTTTTGTATAACTTTTCCGTGGTAGGTTAGGCATAGGGATCTAAGCCCATACAGCTACAGTACAGCCAATGAACCATAGACTAATTAAACAAGTGAAATGTGAATCCGGCAACCTACCGGCAACGGAACTAACTCTATGAATGAAAGCTTCAGCAAGATTGAACAAGATGGCGTTGCTAATGTTGCCATAAATTATAAAATGAATAAATAAAAAAAAGTAATTTATTCGATACGATATCTGTCAAAAGTACTTGTTAAGTAAAAGTATCGAATACAAAGTATCGAGTACAAAAGTATCGGTATCGAAAAGAAACCTACTCGATACCATAAAGTATCGATACTTTTTTCGTGTCGCTATGTAGGGGTGCTGGTTCAGGCTGGAGAGAAACGATAGTAGTCTTTTCTTGAAGCTCCCGGTTCCGTACTGAAGAGTTCCTATTTCCTTATCGGTTGGGGAGTGCAGTGCAGTGCAGTGCATGCCGCTCGAGTATCCTGTCTTCACGCATTCCCTGGTGTGGGAATGGGGAAACCAGTCCGGGGCTGGTTGGCCCCTCTCTGGTTGTTCTCCACGCCATGCGCGACTACGCATGGGTCACTGGGTGAGCCTTAAGCTGGTGGTGGCTTGTCGTCTTTGCTTGCGATTCGATTAAGTTCCTCACGTGTGTACCGACCGGCTCGCTCAACGCGGTCTTCGCCTGCCGGGTGAGACCCCTTGGGGGGAGGCCCAGCAAGCTGCCAGCGGATGTATGAGCGACCGGTGGTACCATGGTGATCGTGGTGGTCTTTTATGGTGTCTTGACTGGTGGTTGCGCGCGAACTTGTTCGCGCGCGTATGGCCTGGAGTCCGGGGGGCGCGCGTGTAGCGGCGCCAGATCTTTCAGATGGTCCCAGGTCGACGCGTCGGCTCGCTCGAACAATCTGGTGGCCAGGTCCTCGATGAAGCTGTCCAGTGTTGGCATCTTGAGGTCCCTCTCAAGGGTGGAGTTTCTTACGTATTTGTGAGCACCGGTAATGGTACGCAACGTCTGATTCTGCTGGGCTCTGATGGCGTCCTTCATGGCTTTACTTACTTGCATACCACACCGGTGCTGCATATGTGAGCCGTGATCGGATATACGTCTTGTATATGGTAAGTTTGTTCGTGAGAGGGAGGCTTCCGCTCAACACCGGACGCAGCAAGTGCCTTGCCACTCGCGCCTTGTCGCGAACTTGTTTCGCGTGGGCGCGGAAGGTAAGCCGACGGTCGATCTTGACTCCCAGGTATGTGACGGTGGGGGCCTACTCGATCTCGGTGCCTCCGAGCTTGAGCTTGGATGGGTGATGCCGCTGTCCGAAGAGGATCGCCTGCGTTTTGCGCACGTTCACCGACAATCTCCACTTGTCCAGCCATTGTGGTAGTTGGTCTAGGACCCTCTGCATCTTCTGCGCTGCATGCTTCGCCGATATGGACGTCGCTACGTAGGCGGCGTCGTCAGCATACAGCGCGAGAGTCGTCTCTGGTGTTGTAATGATGTCGTCGGTGAACTGCGCGTAGAGCGCAGGCGATAGGCAGCTTCCCTGAGGCACTTCTGCCCGGATGGGGCGCGTGGTCGAGCAGCAATTTTCCACCGTCACTGTGAATGTTCGGTTGTCTAGGAAGGAGGTCACAACTTTGACGAGCCTTCTTGGCGTTGTCGTCTGTGTGGCCAACTTGTGCAGCAGACCGTTGTGCCATACGCGGTCGAACGCCTTCTCCATGTCCAAGAGTACTGCGACGACTTGCTCCTTCTTGTTATGTGCGGTTGTGACTGTATGCAGTACTCTGGCTAGCTGGAGTGGTCAGCTCTGAACCCGAACTGTTCCGGGCGAGGCTTCAGGTGTGGCTGTAGGTGCTTGAGCACCAGCCTCTCGAACACTTTGGATATGTGCTGCAGCAACGTGATTGGCCGATAGGATTCCGGCTTCAATACGTTCTTGCCGGGCTTAGGCAGCGTGATGACTTTGCCTATCTTCCAGGGGGTTGGGAAATGCCCTGTGCGCATGATACCGTTGTACAGGCGCGTCAGTGCCGCTATTGTGCGCGGTGGCAGGTGACGCAGCGCCGTATTGGTGATACCATCGCTGCCTGGGGCTTTCCGAGGCTTCGTCTTTCTGATCTCACGCTCCACTTGTCCCGGCGAAAAGACTACCGGGTCTTCGTGCGGTTCAAGTGTGGGTGCCAGGTAGTCTTCGACAAATTTGTCGATGGCTGCAGCGTGTTCGGCATCTTCAGTCGGGTTAGGCTGAAATTGGCGTTCGAGGTGGTCCGCGTGTATCTCCGCGCGGTCTGCTGCGCGGTATCGCGGCTTCCCGTCGCTCGCCAGTAATGGACGGATGGGTGGTTTGGATTTGGTGAGCCGGCGACAGAGGCGGTGAATGCTCGTCCAGTCGTCGCCGGCCTCTTCCATCATGCGATCCCAACTTTCTCTTCTATGGGACTCGAGCTCGGTCTTTATGGTGGATGCAAGTCGGTTCAACCTCGTCTTGAGGACAGGGCATCGTGTAGTCTGCCAGTCCCTACGCAGCCTACGTTTTTCGGCCAGCATCTTCAGTGTGGAGGCCGGGATCGGGAAGAAGGATTTGCACACCGATCCCGGTTTGGCCGCTTCGCTCATGGCGTTTTGCATAGAGACCGACAGGTCTTCTGCGAGTCGTTCGACGTCTGACGAGGTTGAAACTGCCATCGTTGGCGTGTTACGTTGCATCGAGTCCCTGAACTTCACCCAATCGGTCCGGCGGCGCGAGGCCTGCGGCGTCTAGTGCGATGGCTCGTTCTGGAGTACTATGCATACTGGTAGGTGGTCGGATTGGATGTCCTCCAAGAGGACTTCCTGCGTCAGTTGGCCGTCTACGCCCTTGAACAGTACTATATCAAGGACGTCAGGCGTCTTCGTAGGATCGTTGGGATAGTGAGTTGGAACCTCTGGCCCTTGGGCGGTGATATCCATTCTCTCAATTATCCCTAGTAGAACTCTCCCGTGTACTGAATCGTTGTTCGAGTTCCACGCCGTGTGTTTGCTGTTCCAATCGCCCGCGGCGATGGTGGGCAGCGGCGAGTCGAAGATTTTTTTTTATGTCGGCTGCTGCAATCCTCGTGTTCGGCGGATGGTATATTGCGAACACACGGGTGGGGCTTCCATTTACACATATCTCGACCCCCAATGCGTAGAGTGATGTTAACTGCACTAGGGGGAGTTGCTGGTGGACGATTCTTCTTTTGACAAGTACGGCCAACCCGCGATATACCCTATGGCCGTCCGAAGTCTCGTCTTGTCTGTATGCATAGTAACCAGGGACGTGGAGTGAGTCGTTGGCCCCTAGGCGTGTCTCTGACAGTAGACACACATCGACATTGTACTCCACGAGCATTGCCTTTAGTAGCGTCAGTTTGCTGCGGACTCCGTCCGCGTTCCAGTGTACCATCTTGATCATCGTGGCACCTGGGACAACTTCAATAGACCAGCGGTGATTGCCGGCAGGGGATCTGCGCCGGTTTGCACCGCTAGTAACACCTCCATCAGTATATTGACCATCGTTGTCATTACTGTGTTCAAGTCTATGGAGGTGTTAGTCTTCTGTTGCAGTTGTTGCTTCGCCATCTTCCCCTTGTGCGTTTGTGGCGCCGTTGCAGGTTGTGCGGTGGCGGGCGCATGGGTCTGTGGGGCGGCGACCGCGGGCGGACGGAACGTGTGCGTCGGAATTGGGGCCTGGGATGTAGCAGCCGCCGCTGGGGCGGTGTTGTATTTGCCCCTCCTCCTCTTTTTGTTTTTGCTGCTGTTGGTGTTGTTGTTTGGCGGCGGCTTGTGTCTGTCCGTGGCCGGGTTCGCCGGGGCCATTAGGTTGCCCTGGTTTGCGGCTGTGGGGACGGACCGATCACTCTTCGTTGCGTCGCCTGTTGTTGTTGTTCTAGCCACCGTACCCGCTTTCTTGTTACGGGATTCTCTGCGGAGTACGGGGCAGGCGGGGCTGTTGGCCGTATGCGCGTCTCCACAGTTGGCGCAGGTCGGGGGTTCTTCCCGCGGGCGTGGACATTCCCTGGCCTCGTGTTCGCCGCCGCAGCGGACACAAGCCAGCTTTCTGTGGCACCCGTAGGAGGAGTGCCTGAAGGTCTGGCGTCTGTGGCATTGTGAGGGGCCCTTCTTGCCCCTCCACGCTTCAATTTTGACCCCCGGCATGCATAGTAGTTCATCCACTGAGTAGATGCCGGGGGTGATGCCTGGGGTGCGTTTCAATTGGGCGAAAAAGATGCACCCTGGGCGGCCTTGACGGGCTTTTATTTGGCGGACATACTCCGGGCTATATCCGAGCTCCGTCAAGGCGCCGACGATCTCCTCTACGGGTGTGTCCGCTGGGATTCCCCTGATCGCCACTTTCAGGCTTTGTTCGGCCGGTAGCTGGTAGCTGAACCAGCTGATTCTTTCTTTCTTCTCCAGGTCGGTAAGGTATCTTTGAATTATTCTATATTCGTCTTCCGACCTGGGAGAGAATCTTACGCCCTTCCCGAAGGGGCGGGCGTTCGGCGCGTAATTCAGCTTCATCTTGAGTGCTCTGAAGTGGCGAGTCCACTCGGGCAGCTGCTCCACTATTAGTGGGGGAATCCTTGGTTTTGCCGCTGCAGCGCGAGGAGGAGCGGCGGCTGCGTTCGTTCCGACGTTCGCGTTTGTGTTCGTATACACATTTGTATTGGACGCCGACGTGCTGGGTGGTGGTGTCGTTTGTCTGATGGCGTCCGCGTACGTGGGAGCTGGTTGCAAGCGTAGGGAGTGTTGGTGTTGAGACAGGCTCAGACTGGCTGTTCCCGCCTCTCTGTGTCTGAGCCTGGGGTCTCTCTGCGGCATCGGGGTGGGTTGCAACGGCGGGGACGGCTCTTGACACGGCCTTTTGTGTCCGCCATCTGGTTGCTCCGGGCTTCGGGGCCTTCGGGCTGGGCGTGTGGTCAGCTGGACCGATCTGCCTGTCCCTCGCCAGCTCCATTTCCTCGACGGGCGGGGTAGGCTGGCCCTCCAACCTCGTAGCCTCGTCCCCCACCAGGGCGGCAATTCTCTCCTTCATGCCCTGGGAGAGAAGGTCCGCGGCCAGTACTTGCGCCAAGATCAGGGAGTCGCACTCCAAGGTTGATCTTGGTGAAAGACCAGCCAGCGCACCTCCGCTCCGGCTTCCGGAGAG